AAAAAAAAAAAAAACATTAGTTAAACATGAATTGTGCTAGAAATTGGGGATAGAAAAGCAACGAAGACAATTTCGGTCTAGTAAGAAAGATAGGTAAATACATTATAATGAATTTTAAAATTAAGATAGATTTGTAGGCAAGGTTCACAGAACATTAGAGAAATTAGATATAGACAGCATTTATTCATTCGTTATATTCATTCACAGGGCACTTCCTGTATACCCGCTACATTATGCTTGAAGCCGGAGAAATAAAAAGGGGAAAGATAAAGTCCTTATCCGGAAGAAACTCACAGTCTAATGAAGATGCTTCTGGGGTGGTAGTCAGGTGGCAAGGATGGAGCTACAGGAGCACAGGATTACGGAGCCTAGAGTGCTCAGACAATGCCAATTTAGTGTTACACAAGCAAAAAGTTAAGGCTTTGGGTTGGCAACAGTAGAGGATGCTAAAGAAGAGTGCTGTGGACAGGTTCAAAGGGATTGGACTTAACTATGACAATCCAAATTGTTGCTAGTGGAATGCAATGCAAGGGGATATGCATTTTTCTGCAGCATCAGTTTTGTCATAATGTGGAGCATAAAATCTCCACATTAAATAGTAAATAAAATTTACTATTATTTTTACTATTAAAAATAATATGCACAAATCGTGATTTTTGCTATTAAAATGCAGATATACTGTGAAGAATGAAATGGCATATAAGACTAGTAAAACTCTATTGTTAACGAATTTCCACAGCTAGGGTTATGAGTTAGCTAGATAGGACAGCAAACTACAAGGAAATCCCACAGCTGGGCATGCAGATGGCTTTGGCTCTCACTCCTGAAGACTCGTGGGGAGTTAGTTCACAGTCTTCAGCTTTCCAGGGATCTAGGACAAGATAATTGAGGAACAGTGAGGATTAAGCGTGCGGGAAAAGCCTAAGAGTTAAGCTCATAGACTGGAGAGAGGTTAGGGCGTGGGCGATTGGGAACCCGTTATCTTTCCTCTGCTCTCTGCAACTCTTACTCTAAAAACATCCTCCACCAGGTGCCCCTTTGTAGCGAAAGACAGCTGCCCTCTGAACTCCTGGCGCCTGGTTGCCTGGGCAACCGCTTCCGGGGCGCCTCCACGCCCTCTTACTATTGGTTTAGAGGACGCAGCGTGCGTCTGACGTCATTTCGTGGCGCGACCAGATACTGGGGCGGGCCTCGTGGGTCTTCATTTCACATATCCCGGGGCGGCCGGTGGCTGGAGCCGCGGCTGTTGGGAAACCAAGCGCCTGCCATAAGCCCCACCCGTGAGGGGCAGGTGGTGTGTGGATCGCGGCGGGAGAGAGGCGCGGTAGGAACGGGTCCCCAGAGCCATGAACCGCGGGTACTGGTGTCCCGTCCGGGCTCTCTTGCTTCCTGAACTGTTGCTAGGGCCGCCGGACCCTGTTGCTAAGGATTCTTGAGAACCTGAGCGCTTGGAGTGTGGAGTGTGCCCCTCCTTTTCTGGGGGATTCAATCGAGAGTAGCCTTCGTTAACCTTAATTGACACTGGTAAACTCCTTCTCCCATGGTCCCTTTAAAAAAAATCTCGCTTTTTTCTTTATTTTTTGTTTTTCTGTGTTTTCCTCTTTTGCTAACTTTGATAGCGTCCTGGCCCTGGACTCGGCTTTAAGTATCTAGAAGTGAGTGTAGGAGGGGTGGCTGGGAAGATGGAAAGCGGATTCTAAGACCCCCTAAGCAGATTTTACGACCCCTTAATACTTGCCCTTTGCATTTACTTTATGATTTAAAAAAATAAAAAAAAAGGATTGGAATAATGAATATTAGGCTTAAGGTCTGCCTTTTAGAATTTTACAGAGCTTTACAAATGGAACAGGGTGTCTTTAGTGGGGCTCTTACTACACTTTTGGAGCTTTCTATACCTGGATTAGAAAGCCAGAAAAAAACGTGGCCTCTGCTGACTGAGAATTTAACAAGCAATTTAGTTCATGATCCAAAAGCTGAGTGCGGGAGAAATAAAATACATACAGGGAAAGATATAGGCTGTATCAGCTGTCCAAACAATGATAGAAAGTAGACTTTCCTACCATTGACACGGATTCCAGCAGTCCCTTGTAGATAGATGACCTGTAGCAGCCAAGGAAGCTTTAAGGGGAATGTGAGGATTTCATAGGGTGGTTTGTTTGCTTTCTGATATTGTGTCATAGTTTAAGTGTTCCAGGTTAAGTGGATTTATGGATTCTAATATCTATAATTAGAATTTTTATCTTGTTTTGTAAAAGAATGAGCGATGACCTTATGAAAAACCAGTTAAAAGTGTTACTGAGGATAAGATTGATTGCATTTTCTTTAACAAACAACTCATGCTCCAGGTTTGTCAGTGACGTGTTCCCAGGTGAATAGTATTTTAAAAAATTGACCACACTTGCAGTTTTTCCTTGGTGTCCGTGGAGGATTGGTTCCAGAACTCCCTCCCTCCCCCCAGCCTCTTTCAGATACCCAAGTATGTACCCATGCTGAAGTCCCCCAGTCTGTTCTCGGTATCCGTGGTTGGGTGAATCTGTAGATGTGGAAGCCGAATATATGGAGAACCAACTGTAGTTTGTCCTTAAGGTAAAGGATAAACATTTTTAAGAAGTGAAAAAGCAATTGTTTTGGAATCCTCTCTAATACAGGATTTTGAAAGGAGATGTAGGTGTGTTTCCGTTACTGTATGTGTATTTGTTGCTGAAAATTACATTAGTATATTGTATATAAAAATTGTCCTGTTTACTCATAAACTGTAGAAGCTCAATTTTCAGAAATCTAGTCTGTTTTCTAATGTGGCCAGAGAATTGCAAGTGAGTTTCTGACAGTTTATTTTGACAATTTGAATGGAAGAAAAGTTTATTACTGTACATCATTTTCTTGGAGGTGATTATTTTGCTGTTTTGAAGTTGACATAATTTCATGTTTTCTCATTAGTCTTTCTGGTATTTTGCTCCATAACTTTTTCAATGTATCTTTTACTGTATTGTATCCTCTTTTGTTTTCTGTCTTCGTATTGATAATACCCCTCCAAACAAAGTTTGAAGTCAACTTTTTTTTTTTTTTTTTACTGCAGGAGTGAAAGGGAAACAATGCAGAAATCAGAGTGCTCTGGAGGTACACAGTTGAAAAACAGAGTAACAGGTACAGCTTTGCTTTTTAAGAGGCCAAGTTTGTTTATGACACTATTGTGGGTTACAGGTGGAGGCAGGGTGAACTTTATTGCTTTTACCTGCTTCTTATTGATGTTGTTTTGTCCAGGTAACGATGATCAAAGGACATCATCAGGCACACAAATAAAACACAGGAATGCAGTTCAACGAAGCAAATCCTCATTGTCAACCAGTTCTCCAGAGTCTGCAGGAAAACTTCATCCTCGACCAAGTGATAAACTGAACCCTAAAACAATTAACCCGGTAGGTCCAAAATGATTCGTAACTCACTAGATTTTTTGATGGCATTTCGCACGGCATTGAACAATTCTGGATGCTGTCCTGCGTTTTGTCCCTGTGCTAGTTTTGAGCTAATGATGAGAGAAGGGCATGTGTTTGTTATGATGAGCGGAGATAATCAGTCACAGGTGGCAGTGAGTATGGAGGTAAGACACAGAAGTTAACCTGTTTGGGTTATCGCATTGTAGGGCATAAAAAACTGCATTTTAGCTTTAGATTTTATTTGCTATGCTGTTTTGCTTTCCAATATCAATGAATAAACTTGTATTCAGTTGCCACAGAATGCCTTTCCTGCTTCCATAATTGCATAAAGGTCTCTGACCATTCCTCTGTATTGTGTAAATTAGCTCTACCAGAAGTCCTCGTTGTAGTACTAACCTCCTTTGCTCTCTCATAACAATTTAACGAGATTCAATAAACATGAGATTTATGCAATAAAAATAAATATTCAGAAGTGAACACACCTGTGCAACACCAGGTGTTATTTGCTCTAGGCCCAACTTTGGTAAGATGTTAGTAATTTCAGCCTTTGAAGGGGATTGTGAGAGTGGCTGAAGCTCCTGACTGACTTTAATGGCAGGTAGAGTATGGCAGGTACTTAAGGAAGCAAGGGTATAGTGAGCTCTCCAAGACAGAGAGTGTCTGACTTGACAAAAGAAAAGTGAAAAATAGTTTGAGCAGCTGTGTTCCTTTGCTTCTTTTTGTAATCTACAGTGTCAAGGAAATTGAATACCTGAAGAAGGCCCTGACAATCTTGTTGCTCCTACTTTGCTTATGTTTAGTTGAGGGAGTTTATGGTGACACTTCAATATTCTTCCTCTCTTTAAAGAACTCTTTGAATTAACATTTAGTGACCTTAGTCCTAAGGTTTAGTAAAAATTGAGGAAGGTTTTGGGAAATAATAATTAAATAGTTTGACCTGAGAAAAGCATGTCTAAGATATGTAAAGCCTACTGCTGTAAAACAAATGAGTTGGAAGTCAAAATAGTGGTTACCTTTGGGCTGGTAATGTTGATAAACAAGTGTGTTCATTTTTTGTGAATTCACTATTGTGATTTTTGTACATTAAAGTGTATACATTTTAAATATTTGAGTTAAAAATGTTTTTCAAATGCTAATTCAGTGTAGAATGGTATGTAACATTAAGGCAGAGTTGAAATATTGTCTGATATTGTTAAAAATTGACTGGGATAACATTTTTCGCTTTAATAGACTTGGTAAAATTTGGTTAAAATTGATAAAAGTAATCCATTAATGAAACAAATTCTGATTTTGTGTGGTGTGGAAGATGAAACCACGATTAATCTCTAGAACAAAATTGAAATGCAAAGAGAGGGATTGTTTAGCGTTTCAATCAGAAATTTAGTTTCTGTGGGGATTTTGAAAATTTAGGGATTATTTTCATTGCTTGTAAGAGCCAAAAAGATAATTTTCTTGTAGATGGTAGAAGTAAAATATGTTGACAGTATAGTATGAATTTCTTAATTTTTTCCCCATATGTGTAGTACTTTTTCAAATAACTTTATCTGTTATGCTTATCAGAAAATAATTTTTAAAACTTATGTTTCCTTATCAGCAGAAATTGTGACTAGATGAGTGAAACATTCCTATTGTGGTGAATTGTTACACAGAATATGGATTGAGTTTTGGATATGAATCTTTTATTTAATTTGAACAAATTTCCACCTATGTGCTTTTACTCAAAATTCATGTTTTCCAGAGGAGAAAAGAGCTAATTCTAAACTTTAAGCACCTTTAAAAAGTACTGTCGTGTGTGATTAAAAGAAAAAGAAATTAGTTATGTCTTTAAAACAAGTCAATTTATATTTTGTAATTTAGACAACTATTTTTCATTTGATTATATTAAAAGCACCATGCGATAAAATACTTTTTTGTTCTTAAATTTTCTTCAAGTCTCTGATCAATTATATTGAAATTATTTATGCTGTGATTCTTTAACTGTTGTGATTGATCATCTCTTAAACCATCTTTGAGAGTAGGTATAAAGTCAATCTGTTAAAGTAATATATAGCAAAACTGAAAGATTGTGAAGTTGTATAGCTAAGAAAACACATCCGGGCATATATTTGTGAGAATCTTCTCCATCTTCAATTCTCTCCCTCCTGCCCAGTTCAATCCTTTGTTTTTTACGGAAGCCTAAAGCTGGTTTGGAGAAATGACTATCCACACCATCCATATTTGGCTGGAGGACAAGTAGATGTGCAGGTGGCAAAAAACAAATATACTTCTCCTGTACTTAACACCCCTTCTCCATTTAGTCCTCACCTTGAAAGGTCACAGTGGGGAAGAGGGTAGAAAAAACTATTAATACATATATGGTTTCAGCTGCCTTCAAGCCTTCTGAATCGTTAGGGGTAAAAAGAGATGTACAAGGTGTAGTTGTGGTATTCTAGTAGTGAGAGGATTGACGATTTTTCTCATTTGTGTTGCTGAGTAGAAATGGTGCACTTTGATACTAGCTTGGCAGTTTGAAAAGCAGGATGGCCATTTGCTTCTGACCTCAGAAGTACAGGTGATAGTAATATTTTCATTTTTTGTTTTAGTTTGGTGAACAGTCACGAGCCCCTTCGGCATTTGCAGCTATTTACTCTAAAGGAGGT